CTAACCTAACCTCTCTGTGTACCGATGGTTTCGGAACAGTCCATATATTGCAACGTCGAGAGTAAACAAAATTAAAAGCCGGTGAAACCGCATAATCCCCAAACGAATGCGATGCTCATCGCATCATCCACGGCCACTTGAATGCCCGATGCCCTGTGTCGTCATACGAGCAGACATACGGAGTCAAACGACGAGACTCAAAGTTTCCCGCCGGCTGACTCGTCTCCTTCCGACGATTCTCTCTCTCCCTCTCTCTCTCTCTCTCTCTCTCTCTCTCTGAGAACGACGCGCACAACAGAATCGCGCCTAACAGAACATTCATCATGTTCCGCGAATAATATCTCGCAATCCCGACGGAGGCCCGTTGAGACCGCGTAAAATTCACCTGTCAAAGATCGAGCTTCTTCACCGTGCACGTCGCTTTCTCCGTCGTCGACGAGATCGCGAGTCCCGGCGAATTCTCGACGGAACGCGGTGCACGCGAAAGAGTCTCGCGACTCACACGAGCAGACGGAGGCAGGCAGGCAAGTAGGCAAGCAGGCAAGCAGCGAACACGCACGCACGCACGCACGCACGTTTCGGTAATTTTGCGAGCGCAAACGGGCAAGATCGCCGCCGCCGCCGCCGCGCCGTCGATACGGAACCGTCGAACGGAACGGAAGAGATTGAGCGGTAAAACGCGCGCGCCCGGCCCTTTTGCACGATCAGCCGCGCGATTGAGATGCCGCCGTCGCACCGTTGCGTCGGGCACAAACATGTTATTTGCGCTGAAATCACCGATACTCATTATACGCGGCTTACTCGGAACTGTTTACGCGGCAAAATGCAATTAACACCTTAAAACCCGGGACGTCCGTGTTTATGCTTTGCAATAGAAAAACACGTAGCGCACACGCGCACACGGACACACACGATCGGTGCGAAAAATGCACTTCTCCTGTTTACAGTGTCGCCAACTGCGATCATTCAAACGATACCGAATTTTAATCGACGCTCACACGACTGATGTTGATAAAAATCGACAACACGAGCGAGATTGACACTTGATCGAGAAAGACCAGGGGGAGAGAGAGAGAGAGAGGGAGGGAGGGTGGGAGGGAGGGCAGACGGGCAGATCACAGAGGGAATCTAAAATATATTCCATTGCTTTCGTCACTTTGTTACGCGCAGCGCGCGCGAATCGCGATGACACACACGCGAAGCGCGTAAACACGCGAGCAGTTATCGGCGCGCGCGAGCGTTGCATTTCGCACGGAGTCGGTTATCGGAATCAATACGACCCGTTTAACGCCACGTGTCGAATGATCGCGGAGAAGTGTCAGGCGCGCGGTCGCGTTTAATCGTCAACTCTTTCGCTGAAAACGAATCCACCGAGAATATTCCGCGCGCTGTCAAGTACAAAAAAGAGAAGGAGCATGAGGAGGAGGAGGAAGAGAGAAAAAAAGTAGAGAGAGAGAGAGAGAGAGAGAGAGAGAAATACACATATGCGAAGCATTAACGCTGCCTCGCGCATTAATGTTAATTAATTAATTTATCGCGACTAGCGTTTAATGACGTCGCTGTTGAAAAGGTGCAACTGAGACGCGCGACGGGGAAGGAATACATTGAACGCGTCCGACGGCGAGAAACGCATCACGCGATCATGCGGAGTGACAATTAGCGGATCAACGAAAGTGATATGCAAGTGTAACACTTTAGTAACCGCGCGCGTGCGAGTGTGTGTCTATATAATAATAATGTACGTATAATAGTTTATAATAGATAATAAAACGCGCAGCCATATATGTACGACACGATAATTGTATAATTATATAACTTATTTGCGGTATCAATCCCAAGTGTATCAGTCGTTAATTATTCGCGAGCGCGTTTAGTAACACGATTAGCTAGCGATAGCGAATTTTAACGTTTCCAGATAGCGAGTCAGCGAGTCTGAAGAATTCAATTAACACTGGTTAGAGATACACAGCAACGATGTCAAATACAGCATCACGCAAAAAAAGTCATCGCACTAATTAAACCGAAAGCATGTCGCTCCTGTGTTTTTCCACAGATAAGAGTCGGTTCGATCGTAAATACGCCGCCAGCGCCGTAAATAGGGACACGGTGCGATCGCTTAAACTTATTTCGCGAAAATGACTGCTAAAGCGCACCGTCGCAGAGAGAGAGAGAGAGAGAGAGAGAGACGAGGCCGTCGCGTGAACGAAAAAACCGCAAGTGACACCACGAGGCCGGTTAACGAAATAACCCGAAAAGAAGTGACCTCGAGCTACGGATCGACACTCCGCGCACGTCGATTCGAAAACGATGACGACGATGACGACGACGACACGAGTACTCGTCAAAAAGATCGCCACTGTGTACGCGACAATCGGGACGCGGACGTAAAGCTTCGAGCGAGCGTCCATCGCTCAGCAGCGATCGTTGTGTTTCACGCACGATCCCGTCGTCGTTGGCATTTCACGCGGACTCTGTCACCCGTCGGCGGCATTTCACCAGAGATAACTGACGTCTCTCCCCGATATAGACTTCAATCGAAGAGCGAATATTTTTTTTCGAAGGGTCAAAGGAAAGTCCGAGGAGGAATTCGCGTCGTGACGTGACGAAAACTCTATGTCCATAGTCTTCCGCGCGCGTGTGTGTGTGTGTGTGTGTGTGTGTGTGTGTGGGCAATTCTCTAACACGGTGAAATTCAAAGTTTCCAGGGAAATTTCGCTGTCGAAGTGACGGCAATTTTGAGCACGAAGCTCGTGCGAAGCTGTGACGATATTGCAGAGTGAGAAAGAGAGGAAGCACTCTGCACGAAGCGGACGAAAATTGGTCAAATTCGCTGACGCTAACGCGTAATTCATTCGAATCTCTCTTTTCGACGTACGACGCTCATGCTCGTGCGTTCGGACAATGATCAGACGGGCAGAAAAGAAACTCTTTTAACGCTATTACGGTATCTTGCTTTCATGACGGATGCGACGCGAACGTGTCTGTCACCGTCGGCGCTTTTGAATTGCAAAGAGCGAGAGAGTTCGCGGCACTCGCGTTTAATTTAATTAACACGCAATCACGTATCGCCGGAATAATTTCGCGATTATTTACTACATTAACGTAATAGCGAGGAAACGGCGTTGACGCGTTAGAGAAGTTGCGTTACGTTACGTGGCTCGATGAATGGAAACGCATTTCGAAGTCGCGCGACGCCTTTTCATCATTGAGCACAACAACGGAACGTCGACGCGTTTGTTTCAATTAAGCGCTCGCAATGTCGCATACGCGTTTGTCATCGCGACACGACAATACGAAAGCAGCGCACACTCCCGTCCCTTGCGTGATTTGACGGAACACTTTCCGATCGCGACACGCAGTACCGAAAGACCACAGAAACAGGGAAAAAGAGAGACAGAGAGAGAGAGAGAGAGAGAGAGTTAACGTTCCCAAATAACGGAGACCGCGATAGAATAAAATATTCCGCGAGAGTACACGCACGCACGTCGCCGTACGCGCTCGAAATTCGTAAGGATTCTCCGGACCGTCTCTCTCTCTCTCTCTCTCTCTTTCTCCGAGATGACCTCGGCAACGAACATTCGTTAGACGATCTCTATTCGGATCCCATTGATCCCACGCGACTATTCAGCAGCAAAGTCAACGGCAGTGAATCGAGACCGTGAGGCGCGTCGCGACACACTCAATCGAGGCCAGAGGAAATTTACTCCTCAGTGTTGTGTTACGATTATCGGTCGTAATTACGCGCGCGGTCAAAGTCGCCCGCCGATTATGATGTATAATCGGCATGTACCGTAAATACGAATCCGTCTCCCCTTCTCTCATGTTCTCGTTCTCGTTCTCTTTCTCTCTCTCTTTCTCTCTCTCTCCCTCTCTCTTTCTCTCTCTCTCTCTCTCTCTCTCTCTCTCTCTCTCTCTCTCTCTCTCTCCCTCTCTCTCTCTCTCTCTCTCCCTCATCTTTCGCGCGGCTCGATCGAATTTCGCATGAAATAAAAAGTTTGCTCGCTCAGACGACGGGCCGGAGAAATGCAGCCCCTTTGTGCGAGAGCGTCGTCCTCTCTGTCTCCGGCGGCGCGATGTAAGCGGCGTTACAAAGCGCCGCGCGCGCGCGGCCTACATGTAAATTTCCTTTCGACACGGCGACGATATTCAATTCAAATTCACCAGCTGCAGACCTCGATCGCGCGTTCGCGCCTAAGATCGAGAGCCGGCTCTTTGGAGCCGCGCGACGCAGCTGAGAGAAGAGAAAGAGGAGAAGCACTATTTTACAAATTTACGCGAGGCGATGACTGCCGGGGTAGCGCCGCGTCAACGAAATATCGGAACCGTTTCTTTCTTTCTTTCTCTCTCTCTCTCTCTCTCTCTCTCTCCGCATGATGAAGAACCGAAGCACCCGACGGCCGAACGAATGAATTATAGGCGGAGCTTTCCACGACAACCGAGACACTTGACCACTTCATACAATGAAAACCTTTCACCTCTCTCCCGCCGACCTTCCCGAATATTTCTAATCTCATTAGAGCTTCGGCCGAATGTAAAATTTCGGCCGCCGCAAACATCTGATGCTTCATTTCGGAGACTCTCGAGTCCGAAAGAAACGCGACACTGTTGTTGTTGTTGTTGTTGTTGTTCGTCACTCGCGGGAACGATCGTGAATATACCTGGTTCATATCGCGGCACCTTCTTCATCAAACTCGCGCGCTATCATCGAAGGAATCTCAGACTCGCCTTTCCGCAGACTCGCCTTTCCGCCACTGAAACCGTCAACGACAACGCGCGAAATAATAGAGATTTCCTTTCCCGGTAAAAAAACTTTTCCCGATATGCTCTGGACACACCTTCGACACAGCTCCGCGCACGACGAGCCAAAGACCGAAACTGCGAGCACTAACCGATTCCACACGTAGCCTACGTTCGTTCATCCCCGTCGGTGGTTAACGACTGGTCGGTTTACGTCGCGAACGAATATTGAGAAACAGTGGCATGCGAGATGCGAAACATACCCTTGGCTGCGCCATGAACGCCCTGGCCGCGCCGGGGAACTCTGCGTGCTGAGCCACCGTAGCGGCTGTATTTTCCCACAGTGTAAGAAAGCAAGCCTCTCGACACTTCACCACACTTTGTCGACACTGCTGAACGCGTGTTAGAAGCGCCTAAAAACGCTTCGACGCGCTGCGTGACGCCAGGACTTTCACACAGAAATTCAACGTAGTTTTCTACGTAGAACAAGGAGCGAGATTGGAATCTGCATGCGTCGGTAGCCGTCGGCAGATCAAAAGATGAACGAAGTTTCGTATTGTTGTTACTGTTTTTTCTTTTCCTTCTTTTCCCTTGGAAATGAATGTCACAATGGCGCGGCTCTCACTTGGGTTTCCTCGATTTGTGTAGGGGTGTGTCTCTCTCTCTCTCTCTCTCTCTCTCTCTCTCTGCCTCTCTCCCTATTCCTTTCTACTTCCCAACTTCCAAGTTACTCTCCGCTTGGTATTTGCACACCGACGACGTCTCACTCTCTCTCTCTTTCTCTCTCTCTCTCTCTCCCCCTCTCTCTCTCTCTCTCTCTCTCCTCCCTCAGCTAAACAACCCACGCAGAACGTTACGGACAAACGTCGCGAACAAGCGTCAGCAGAGCACGGCGCGCTGTCGCGACAGCAGCAGAATCACGACGGCGGCGACGACGTCTGCGAGCGGACACGCGTGGTGCTTCCTCATTATCATCGTCGTAGGTCGCGGCAACACGTCCTCGTCTCGGACGTAAAAGGTACGCGCGCTGCTTAGCGCACTCACGAAGCAAAGTCTCGCTGGAGAGAGTAACCCCGCAGCACTCGTCAATGCCGCATATCTAGCGCGGGAAGCCACGTGTCGTCGTCGTCGTCGTCGTCGGCGGCGGCGTCGGCGTCGGCGTCGGCGGCGCACCTGTCTGTCCTTATGTCGCGGCGGAGCTGGGATTACGCCGGCTGGGAGGACGTCCGACGACGAGCTCCTCCGTCCCCCGCGAACGATTCTTCTCTCGACGACGGCAGGCAACACGGCGTCGTCGGGGATGCATTTAGCGCGCGTTCGCGCGCGAGCTGCGTTCGATCGCGAGGCCTGCGAGCCGGACGCGCCGCATCGAGACGGCGCGCGGTCTTCCCCTGGTCGGTGGCTTCCGGAGGAAAAGTCGAAGAAAGGTGGCCGTGTCGTGTTTTCTCGCCGTCCACTCTCCGTGTACTTCGCACATTCACATACGTCTCCTGTATTGCCGTTCTATCACTGCGCGTCGTAGCACATGAACAACCGATGATCACCGACGATGTCACTGACTGAGAACACGTTACATCCTCCAGTTAACGGCACCGTATTACAGCACGAGAATGTGGAAGCCACGATGACGCCCCGCCGACGATCGACGACGGGCGTCAATGGCGCGCGCGCGCGCGCGCGCACGCACGCACGCACGAGAGAGCACTGATGACGAGATATCACCACCGTCGCACAGTCAACCGATCTTGTGCTCGAGCCTCGGGCGGACGATACTCCGGCGAGGTTACGCGACGAACGAACGAACGAGCGAGCGCGCGCCAATTCGCGCGAAGACGCGCGCGCGACACACACAGCGGCGCGGCGACGTTGCCACCGCTGTTGCGACAATGCTGCGATATACGTATCTCCGAGGTTGCCGCGCCGGTTTTTCGAAGCGATATCACGCGCGTGAACCGGGGGGGTTATGTTGCGGGAACTACCGATTGCACGAGAGACTGAGAAGAGGGGGGCGGGGGGGAGCGCGCGCGAGCGAGTGAGTGAACGAGAGAGAGAGAGAGAGAGAGAGAGAGAGACAGAATGTGTGTGTGTGTGTGTGTGTGACAGAGAGAGAGAGAGAGAGAGAGAGAGGTAAATAGGATTCAAACGCGTATGTAAGCAGAAGGAACCAACAAACGACAACAAAGTGCGATGTAACACCACGCGACACGATTCGACACGTTTACTATTGACGACGGGATGTACTACGGGTGGTATCACCGTAACGAACGAACTAACGGACGCGAGTCGAGAGAGGAGACCGCAGCGAGAGCTGTCCGCGAGACGGCGGGCGACCCTCCTCCCTGACCGTGACTACTACTGCGTGTGGCACTCGTAACTCCGGCGGACAGAAAAGGTGGTAGAGAAGTTCGTTCGTAGTGTGTTACACGTAAGCGGGCGCGCAGCGGGTCGTAGGCAGCCACGGGGATATGCGTGTTTCAGGTTTCCCCCACGAAAAAGCAACCGGGTAGATCACACGGGTAAGAGAAGAGCGAGCGGAGCGCGAGCGAGCGTGGAGAGCAGCGCCTAGCACGGTTTTAGATCCTGCGCCGTCCGCAGTCGTTCGCCAACTGTCAATCAGCGCCGCGCTACGTCGCGGAGTGGGAGACTCGCCGGCACGCCTACCAACCGCGGCCAATGCGCCCCCTGGGCCCGCCCATCGCGACCTGGCGAAGCACGCGCGGGTTCAGCGCCACGACGGTGAGACCGCGAAACACAGGATCCTCCGCCATCGCTACACCACTACCAACAACGCGCGACGGCGGCGGCGCGGGCGGCGACGACGACGACGACAACGATGACGACGACGACGACGACGACAACGACGACGACGACGACGACGACGACGACGACGACGACGACGACGACAACGCGAGACCGGCGGCGACGACGACGACGACGTCGTCGGCAAACCTCGGACGGATACTTGGAGAACATCGTCCGCGAAATGCAACGAGATACGCGATGCTACGAGAGAAAGAGAGAGAGAGAGAGAGAGAGAGAGAGAGAGAGAGAGAGAGAGAGAGAGAGAGAGAGAGAGATTCCGCCGACGGAGTCGCTCGGATTCGAGGCTGGCGCGCAGCGAGCCCAGGCGTTACCCTCGCATCCGTCTCTCGAGACTGCTCAGACGACTGAAATGAGGATACGCGTGGATCCTAAATGTGTGTGTCTTTGCTTCCGTTACCGAGAGAAACCCCCGTGTTCTCTCCCGTGACGCCTCTTCCAACAGGACATAATCCTGCTTCTTGACGCTCGCGATACCGCGACAATGCTCCCGCGGTAATTACCGTTGCGATCGAAGATCGCCATTTCTCAATAAGTCACATTGCGTGTTACGTAAGTTCAGCGGTAGGATCGCTCTGTTCGTAAGGGGGGCACTTACCGCGCGCGCGCGCGCGCGCCCGCGAAAGTGCCGAATGAGTGTCGCCGGTGGAGATCGCATAAACTCCTGATACATTCGGCTCCGGAATGATTAGCGCTCGAGCCACGTATCGCCCGTAGCCGTTTCAGCCGTCGGTAATCGACGCGCGCTCGCAGGACGACGAGCGCGCATTTTGACACCGCGCTTTCGGGGACTACTCCCCTTCTGCGCGCACGGCGAGCAAAGCCGAAGATACTCGAGTGGGCACGAGCGGCCAGGAACTGACAGTCAGTGCGACGAGAGAGAGAGAGAGAGCGCTTCTTGGGGGAGAGAATCTGTCGAGTCTCCGTTTCTCTAAACCAGATGTGAAAGCCCCCGGCTCGGGTTCTCGCACCTATTTACCCGACTACCTGCCTGCCTGCCTGCCTACCTGATTTGCAAAATTATCCGAGTCCACCGCAAGCACGAGCCCTTCTCCAAACTACGGTCTCATCGGTAAATAGACAAAGAATGAGAGGACTCGGCTTGCCGAGATTAGGCACTAATTGACGCCGAAAACGACGATAATTCCTCATCGTTCGTGTTTCTTGCTTGACATGAACGAACGCTCTCTCGAAACGCTCGTAAATCGGCTCGCGCGCGCTCGGCACCGTCTGCCGTCGGACGAGGCGAGTCTCGCGATTAATCGCGCACCGACCGACGCCGTGTGCGAATAACTCGGAGGAGGAGGCGGTGAAATGATCCTTTTAGCATCGTACTTCGGCGCATAACGACGAAACATTAAGGTCGCACGCACGACGATCGCGTGTAAATGCGAGGTAAGAGCTACGTCCCGCCGCCGGCGCTCGCAGTGCGCGCGCGCTTGTCGAACGTCCGCGGCATTTACCGTATCCAAAGTACTGTTTCGTGTAAATTTTCCTATATTTTACCGCGCGACGTGACGGATAACCGGGACGGATACGTGCGAGCTCACATGCGCGCACATCAACTCACATCTGTGCGTCGTATCGCACAGAGAGTGGGCAAAGTGGCGGTTTTATTAACGCCTAAACCGGCCTCTTGATTTCGCAAATTCGTCGTGGACGATAATAGCGGCAATCAGAGAGGTTCGACGCGGCCGTTTGTGCCGACGAATTCCACCCGGCAGCGGAAATATCGCGTCGACGTCGAAACCACGCGAACCACGTTACGTCGCGCCTTCTCGCCTTCCGCGCGGATTTATTCGCGCGGAGGTTAACCCGGTAAACAAAACTATCGACACACCGAGTGCAGGCGCGCGCACTCCTCTTTTTTTCAATCTCTCCTCTTTTTTGTACTTTTTTCATAATTTCGCTGGCGTTTCGCGCCAGGCGCCCGGCGGCGCTCGATCGAGCTTTGAATGAACCGAACAGCTGACTCCGCGTAGGAATTGGGTCGCGAACGTGCGGTTTCGAACTTTGAATGGTATTCGGCGTTCGGTGAGTAATAGCGACAGGAGGCGGTTGCAGAGGAGGACGAGAGGAGGAGGGCGGGCGGCTGTCACCGACATCACTCAGTGTCTCCCTCCTGGCGTTCACTTCGCTCGATTTTATGACTCTCTCATCCCGCACTCTTCCCCCTCCCCCTTCCCTTACCCTTCCTCGCCACTGCCGCCGCCGCCGCCGCCGCCGCCGCCGCCGCCGCCGCCGCTGCCGCCGCCTCCGCCTCCGCCGCCACCACCCGTGCTCGTCGTCGCGTCTATCGCCGTCGTTCTCGGCGCGCGCGTTTACACGCCGCGTTCCGCATAATATCGCAAATTGACACATCCGCCTTTAGCCATCGATCGACGTTCGGCGGCTAGCGTCGAGCTGGACGCCGCCGTCGACGAGACGGATAATGAGTCCCGAATTCCCCGCGAATCCACCGCGCGGGATTGCACGCGTCCTCCTCGACACGGAGACGCGGTAGACGGTTGTTAGCGGACGACCCGCGTTGATTCCGCGGCGTAAACTCGATACTTCGGCGAGCTCGTCTCGCGATAGGAGGGAGAGGGAGATTGATAAACGGAAGAAAAAAGATAGCTAGCCGGATGCGAGTCGCAGGATTGCGACGAATCATCCGTGAGCTCGTAATGGATGGGAAAACTTTATCACGTGCGACGACAAAAACGAGAGAGGCTACAAGACCGAATAATGTTGTCGGAGTGGGAATGCGCGCGATAGATCGCTGCACGGCGACGTCGATGCGGACTGAAGATTCACCGTGTGAGATCGTGCGGAAAGCAAAAAGCGAGGCGACGCCCGTATCGTCCGCCGGTAGAACGTGTTTATTTACGTGTTGTGAACGGCGCTAACAAATAAAACCGATTCGTGTGCGCGCGCGCGCGAGGATACGCGGAGATTTCTTTCGCGAGAGAGAAAGAGAGAGAGAGAGAGAGAGAGGGAGGGAGAGAGAGAGAGGGAGAGGGAGAGAGGGAGAGGGAGAGAGAGAGAGAGAGAGAGAGACGTCGAACGTATCAGAGTCGCTTATAAGCGCGAAAATGACTTTGTGCGCAAAAAGGAAGAAAAAATGCGGACGGCAGAGGAAGAGAAAGAGAGTGAAAAAGAGGGAATCGCTCGGCGAATTCGGTCAGGGCGAAGACGTCAGGGTAGAGGTATTAGGAGCCTCTTACAAGGCCGGCATTCTTGTCCAAGTGTTTGCACTGTAAACACACCGCGGGCAAATCGATCCTAAAACATCGGTGCTCGCGTTCGGAAGGCGTCGAGTCGATCGTCTAAGCCCGACCGGGGAAGAAACGGCATGGTCACCGGCCTCTTCTCTCGTACTCCGTTCCGAGCCCTCGCCATTATTACCCGCTTAATTCGTAGGTGTTCCCGGACATTGTTAGAGCGCCTTACCTGAGCGCAGGGGACACTGCGAGCCTGTTATTCCGCAATAAATCATGCCGCATGATGAGACCAGCCACATCGTATATCTGTCGATAGTAACGAGGGGGAGAGATCTCGGCCCTTCTCTCTCTCTCTCTCTCTCTCTCTCTCTCTCTCTCTCTCTCTCTCTCTCCCTCTCTCCCTCTCTCTCTCTCTCTCTCTCTCTCTCTCTCTGCCTCCCTCACCATCATCTCCCGGCCCACATCTTCACCTCGCTCTCTTCCCCCATCGTGTACGGCGCGTAACCAGCCGTGAGCCATTAAATTTCTCGCGATGTCGGAGAATGATCGATTCTTACGTAAACCCCCTGCCTGCGAATTATCTAAGTGGCCTCGCGAAAAATTCGATAAACGTCGCCGGAGCAGCCGGGGATGCTGCCACCCTCGCTACTTCTCCGCGGTCCGCATCCACGTGCCTCGTAAACGAGCGAGCGAGAGAGAGAGAGAGAGAGAGAGAGAGAGAGAGAGAGAGAGAGAGAGCTCGGGATTTATGAGGTAAAATAAGTTTCAGGAACAACATACGTACAACGTGGGGAATAGGATGCAACAGAGCAGTGGGCAAACAAAAATTACCGCACCGCGCGACGACTCGTCGGCGGCTCGAAAGTGCTGCAAACACGACAAAAAAGAGTCCTCCTTGTATCCTTGTCGTAATTTGTGTCTTTACTTGCGTTTCACGCAGCTTGTGTATATTTGTGTATATTTTTATTTCTCAGGTTACGACCTGTACGACTCGGCATCATTTGTTATTTTTTATGTAATTTTTCACCCGTAACTTTCATTTGTGGCTTGACTTGTGTATTGCCTATCGACGGCTCAAGATGCGTCAATTTTAGGCGAGTAGGAAAGAAATTTCCTTCGTGTCCGTTTCGTTCGTCTTCTCCGTTGCTTTTCGTTACAAAGGAGCGAGTCCTCCGACAAAAACTACTCAAGTCGAAGCATCCTCTCGGCCTTTAGGAACCGCTTCGAGCGAGAGAACGGATTGATCGCAAGTTCGTCTCCGACGATGGGCACGTGTCACGAAGCCAAATCAAATGCGAGCGCGACCGCGTTGCGGTTGTAAACTTGAGTGGTATCACCAGCGGTCGCTGGTATTCGAATCAGCCGTCGGAGCTGAGGTTGCCCGGCGCGGGCGCGCGCGGGCCGGAGAGAGAGGTGAGAGTGTTTATGAAAATGAAGTTATATCGGGATGGAAAGCGTTCGAATGGCGCGAACATTTCGCTGTGACACACCGGGAGAGATGATACAATGGCCCTACCGCGACCTAACCCGCCCACTGTTCGTGCGTAATTCTGCGAAACACCCCTACTGTCTC